AAACCCTATAAACCCTGCAAACCCTACAAACCCTGTAAGCCCTATTAATATAATAATAAACCCTATAAACCCTATAACCCCTACAAACCAGGGAGGCCCTAGTCCTGCAACTCCGGAACTCCTGATGCAGGTCGCAAGGTGGCTGGTGCACAACAGTGACTTCAAGAGCTGAAATACTACATTTGTTAAATTTTTTGGGATAATAGAATCCCCCATAAAACTGAAAGTGTACATTTTTGGGGGGCTTCCTAAACCCTAAACCCTACAAAACTGAAAGTGTACATGTTTTTGGGGCTTATGAACTCAACAACTAAGGTGACTACGCAGTCTCGTCCACGAGCTGCGCTAGTGAGCGCCTCGGCTGTGCCTTCAAGGGGCAGCCCTTCGGTGATATCATGTCCATCGCCGATGGCACTGACACGGTCTCCACTGGCATCGTCTACACCTACCTTCCGCCGGAGGATTCGGCAACCCAGGACATCGGAGTGGCTGAGTAGGTAGCCTTCGACGTCTTGTGGGTTTGCCAACTCCGAACATACCAGGAAAGGGCAGAACCCTTGCGGGGCCAGGGAGCAACTCTTGTAAGACCTTCAAAGCCCTACATGTTAGACCATGGAGCTCGAAAACAGCCCTAGCCCTGAACAAGCAATTCCCAAATCCAGCGATACTCGCATCTTCCGGGTTAATATCAGTGTATGTCCCACGGGGCGGAAGGCCCACTGCCCTTTTTTTCTGCAACGAAGAGCAGGACATCCTTGCAGACCCCCGCATGACCTTGACTTTCTCCGAGAAAGTCGCTTGGCTGACACAACACCAAGACCCCGAAGGCTAAAACCCTGAACTGAAGCCAGAACCCAAATTTCGGGTCAACGACACCCTGAACAACAGCACCCTAAAGCCTAAACCCACAACTCGGACACACCAAACCCGACACCCTGATTCTAAAGCCTTTTTTCCAAAGTGAGTGTCGACAGAATTCAGCCTAAAGCCTTAAACCTTAAACCTAAACCCGAAGCCCTAAGCCCTAAACCCAACATGAGGCTCGACAGAATTCAGCCTGAAGCCCTAAACCTTGAACCCGAATTAAACTTTAAACACTAAGCCAAAAATCTCCCAAAAGGAGGGTCGACAGACCCTAAAGCCTAAACCCCTAAACCCCTAAACCCCAAACGTTTAGGGTTTAGGGTTTAGGGCCTAGACCCTAAACCCAAATTCAGCCAAGGCCATTGGCTGCAAGAGCACCGCCGAAGACCCGCCCTGTGCACGCTTGACCATGGCTGGCAAGCTCACAGAGGTGCAGGGTTAGGGCTTTAGGGTTTAGGGTTCAGGGTTTAGTTTAATATATGGGCCTAACTAATTACCGTTAATTACCTATACTATTTTGGGGGTTCCTGATGAAAAGTAAAGTATAATGGGCCCCAAAAGCCTATTCTAACTATTAAGGCTTCTACTCTAGGGGCCTTGAGGAAGTTTAGGGAGATTAGCGTTTAGGGTTTGGAGAGTTTCGAAATGTAGAGAGTTGAGGGATTTAGGGAGATTGTTAGGGTTTATGGGTTTAGTTTAGGGAGGTTCGGGGGTGGAGAGAGACAGTTCAGGGATGTCGGGAGCTGAGGGAGATGAGGGAGCCTGGGGTCTGGCGTCTAGGCGGTAGGATACCGGTTGGGCGTGGAAGTCCTTGTTGCAATCGTGGTGTAGGGTTTAGGGCTGAACTTAGGGCTTAGGGTTTAGGGAAGGTAAGAAATGTAGGGTATAGGGCTTAGGGCTTAGGGTTGAGGGAAGGTAAGAAATTTAGATTTAGATGTACGAGAGGGCAACAGGAGTGATTGTTGTCAGTACTTGTGCTACCATGGTTCTCTGACAGTTAAATTTGGAAATTGCAAAGTTAAGTGTTGTCATCAATTTTGGTAGTGCCGGTATCAGCTTATGTATGTACCAGTAGCAGTAATAGTCTTAAGTTAGAGCTATTATCAGAAGCAAACACCGTGGCATGAAAGATCCGCTTGTGCATCGCACATCGGTCTAGGTTGCCAGCTTGCTACCATAAACCCAAAACGCTAAACCCTAAAATCCTAAACCCTATAAGCCCTCCACCCCCTCAACCCCCAAACCGTAAGCCCAACAGCGTAAACCATGAAATTCCCAGTGAAGTTGTGCATTCCCCAGAAAACCCAATACCCCTTAATTAAAGAATATACCTTAACTCATAATACTAAGGACCCCATAATTTAAGGTATATTCCCTGATTAAGGGGTATTGGGTTCTCTGGGTCTTCTGCAGCTACCAAGGTCCCGGCAGGAGCCGACACAGACCTTGCCTTGAGCTATCTCTTTGCCAAGCATCCTGAGATGAAGGGATGGGGCAAGGCACATTCCTTCAAGCCACTAGGATGGTCCTGGCATATCTAATCGACGCATATATGTGTATATGGACCCTCTGATTTCGGGATAACTAGGATTTGAATTACAGACTTTCCGGTTAGGGTTAGGGTTTTGAGGCTGGTCAGCACTTCAAGTAGCAGTGAACTTAGAATGCCATTGGGAGAGCCTTGTGTCTTTGTTCTTTGTTAGACTGCTTGAACTTCTTCGGGCCCGATGGAATTAAAGGAAACTACAGGTGGTGAGTTTAGGGTATATAGGGCTTCCATAGGCTCCCATAAGGTATATAGACCTTCTATAAGGCTCCTATAACGATAACTGCCCACCTGAAAATGTCCTAGATGGAAGAACCGAGGCCATATTGGATGGCTAAAGAGAACATCTCCAGCTTCTTCTTCATCGACTTTTATGGAGGCGCCAAGAATTTCACTGTGGAGGAGTATTTGGCTTCTCCGCAGGACACTGAACCCGAAACCCTTAGCCCGCCACAACCCTCAAGCCCCAAACCCTAAACCCTGAACCCTAAACTCTAAAACCCTGAGCCCAAATTAACCCGAAAGCCGGAACGAGGAGTGAGCTTCGTAGCGTCGCCGTGGGCGCATGTGCAGAGGCGCGCGATGACGCCCTGTCCGCAGATCGATATACGATCAGACTTGTACAGCGGATTGGAAGTTGTCGCTGCCACGTTTAGGCAAAACAGGGGCTCGACATGTGCGGATGAACGTAGGTCCGGAATCCCAAACATAGGACCTAGCATCAGGGATCCTGAGTCTGAAGCCCACAGCCTAGGCGCATTGCATGTATGCAAATGAAACTTCGATGCCCTAATCCCCCAAACTCCTAAGCCTTTATCCCTCTCGCACCTTTCGAGGCCCCTTCACACAGTTAACTGGGACTCAGCAATCGGAGTGTGGCCTTGTCCCACGAAGCACTTGCTCATCGTCAGAGGACTAATCACGCAGGTTTAGGGACTCCCACATACCGAAGCTCCACAAACCCCGTACGATGAAGCGGAGCCCTAGATTTCTGTGAACTTTCATCTCTAAACCAAGTCCGGAAGCCCTCAACATAGGAGCTTGTGCTGTCCACAAAAACTTAGCCTCTAGGGCTCCAGGGAGTTTGGTGTCATCGTGCTCCAACTTACTGCAGTATCCCAGTACTCCCCAGCCATGTACACAGTCCCCATACGAGGACATTGCCATACCTACCAAAAACCCTTTGCTTGTTAAGACGGCCTTGTCTCTGGGCATGCTCGACTGAGGCAGGCTGCATCATCCGCAAGGCAGAGAGCCCCCTGCAAATTCATGCGTCTTGCCGAATTGAGGAGTGGTGTAGTCTCTGGGTTAGTTTTCGTACCGTTCGAGAGGTTCAGACATGTGAGGGCTCTTCCGGGTATCCTGATATCAAGTACGGCCTCTAATTATCTATATACATATATATATATATATATGTATATCATATATATATATATAATATTATATATATGTTATATACATGCATATATATATATATTTATTTACATAGTTAGAACCTATATACTAGGGCTGCTAGTCGCAGGGCTTGCTGCGAAGCGTGCGTTTCAGTTTTGCGGATTTGGAGTTCAGGGATGGTGACTATATCCATGACAGTTTCAGGTGAATGCAGGATTTATATCATCAACAGTATGGGTCAGTATGGGTTCAGGTTTCGAGTTTCTGGGTTTAGGCCTTTAATCAGAAACCGGATCCCGAACCGCCCAAAGGCCCCAAACCCAAATCCCACATCCTACACCCTCAACCCTATAGCCTTACGAAAACTCAAGCCAGAAATCCTAAGCCCCAAACCGTCCTGTTGGCGCTCCCAACCTTACACACCCTAAACCCTTAGGGTGTAGGGTTTAGGGTTTAGGGGGAAGGGACCCAGACCGAAAAAATGTAGCCCGGCCTATGTCAGGCGAATCGAAATGGCCGACTGATCAAGTTTGACACCAAGCCGAATGGAACGCTGCTTTATGAGGAACCCAGAGAACCCAATACCCCTTAATTAAGGAATATACCTGAAATCATAATATTGGGGCCCCTATAATTTAAGGTATATTCTTTAATTAAGGGGTATTGGGTTTTCTGGGAAGTGACATGTGCTAATGCCCTGCCGGCTTGCCGAAGATGGGCTTAGCCGTGGTCGTCGTGGTTTTCAATAGGACAGCAAGCACATGCCAACGATATCATTTTCTGTGAGTTTCCATTTTCTTGATTTCGAGGCTTTACGTTTGAGAGCATGCGGGGCGAACTCTCAAATTCAACGTATTGAGCCCGGTGTTATCAAATCCGTTTCTGCTACCTCACATCATGCAGGGTTCGGGGATTGCAGTTCAGTTCTTGGGCTTTTTGTGCTTTAGACTGCTGGTTTAGGCTTGTCTTGGTTTTTGTTCTCAGGACCGTTGTGACAGGTTGAGTGTGCTCGAAAAGCAATCACCCATGTACCGAAGGTACATGGGTCCCCAGTCTTGCTCATGCAGAGCCCGCAAAATGGCTTTGTACGCAAGTCAAGACCAACAAGGTTTGTGCTCGTTCGCCATACCGAGAGGCATCTTCGAAACACAGATAGAAGCGATTGGCCATCTACCCAGAGACTCCCACATCCCTTAATTAAGGAATATACCTTAAATCTTATTAGGGTTCCTATTATATTTTAAGGTATATTCCTTAATTAAGGGGTATTGGAATCTCTGGGTACTTGCGCCAGCATGATACGGTGATCTGCTGCAAGCCACAGGCGGCAGTCAGAGTGAGTGCAGTGCTCCTACTTGCCTACTGCAAGCATGGCGAGACGGCCAACATGGCTTTGTTTTGCAGTAGACCTCGACAGCGTAAGGTCCATGGCTCTTCTGTTGCGGGATCTGAGGTGTTTAGATTCCCTAAACCTTAAACCCGAAACCTAAACCCTAAAGCCCTAAACCCTGAAACCCTAAACCCCAAACCCCAAACCCCCCAACCCAAATTCTCATCCATGCAGCACTGCAGCCTCGAAGCTTCCCTAGTATTCGGGACCCTTCTTATCCCTACTTATGGCTCTCGCAAAGGGTTCATTCAGCATTCCAGCATTCCCCATAGGCTCCATAGTAGTTCCTTTTTGGGATTACCTTATAGGATTCTAAATACAAGCCACAAAAAGGAACTACTATGGAGCCTCTGGGTCAATCTAGATGAGACAGAGGCGGCTGGCCCGAAAACACACCCCCCTCATCCTTCAGCTGCTCGACTACCGCAAAAACCCGTGTTTTCGGGGTGGGGTGGTTCTTGGTTTCCCAATGCCTACACTCCTACTGTTGATGATATATACATCCTGCATTACCTGAAGGACCCTAAGCTATGGGAATTATCGTATATTCCTTATTATGGGCAATGCAGGATTTATATCATCAACCGTCGTTGTGAGGCCTGACAGGATTGAACCGTTTCATTGAAGGCGAGCACGTCTGAAACTGCACATATCGGGTTCTGACACCTTGTTCGTGAATAGCTTGAATAATCTCTACCTCAAGAGCTAGATCCCCCAAAGCACAGCCGGAGATCCTCCCCCCAAAACCCTCCCACAGCTTAACCCCCGGGTACCCAAACCCTATAAGAGCCCTAGTACGACCCTAACCCTACCTTGAACCCTTCCCTTTCCAAACTCCACATACATACATGCATGCATACATACATACATACATACATACATACACACACACACACAGATACACAGTCGCACAGATACACAGATACACACATACACACATACATATATGTGTATATATATATATACAAATTGACAATACCACTACAATTGTCATTTGTGGTATTATTAATATATACAATATACAATCAATATATATATATACATACACATACATACATGTACATGTACATGTACATGTACATATACATATACATACATA